GCAGAGCAACACTTCTGAAAATTCAATTTTCTAAGCATTGCGTAACGGAGTACTGAATCGGGTCACACTTAGAATCCACGCACTCATGCGCATTCAATCTTTATATCAATGTTCACAACCACTGCCAGCAGAGCTTTTTATAAAAGTGTGCTAGACAGTCAGAGTTCCGGCAAACTAAAAATATCTACGCATATATTAGAAATTACAGAAATGTTTTATACGTTATTTCGTACCCTTAGAGACTTACATAAATTATAATCACTGCAACACAATCGAAATTCAGCATGCTATAGCATTCCCATTTCGAACAGGGCTCATTTATATTGATGCCTCGCAACACTTCTGAGCCCCATTAAAATATTTGTGTGCGAGTTTTTGTAACACAATATTACAATCAATATTTAATATCTAAAAGATTTGCTCGCACTCATTCCACTAGGCTGAATGAGGTGTGCAGTGCAAGACGAGCAGAATGCTTTATCTAAAAGTTGTCTAGGCATCAACTTCTAGACCTTTCTTGCGTCTATGAGATGTTCCGATTTCTCGTGCAAATGGTTTTTGCAGCTGGCGCAGGCTATCTATAGATTAGCAGGACAGCACAGAATGCTATGAGCTCAGAAGATTGAGGAAGCGAGAGAGCGAAGACCCACGTAAGCAAGCCATCATCGTTAAAGAAAAGGGGACGACGGTGCAGACATGCTAGCAGCAGCTGTCGCGCATCCACCTCGTGCTCTAGACAAACAAGAATAACAATAAGGCTTTCTAAATAGCATGACTATGGGGCACAAGTAGAAAAGAGGTAACGGGATGAAAATAGAGAGTCCGATGAACACTTTCGTGGGGGGGATCATGAATGCTCGAATTGCACCAATTGCTCTAAATGACATCCCATTACAAAACTTATGCATTGATAAGACCAGTCCAAGATTATCTGGCTATTACGAAGCTGGCCAGATAGTGCAAGGGGTGCCAAAAGCAAGAAGCACTGCCAAAGTTGTCTCTCGTTGAGCGTCGTTAAAAACCGGGAAGCCAGCGCCGTTTTACAGGTCAGGGTTACGGGTGAAAAACAGCCAGGCGAATGTACAATCGCGGGACAGAAGAATTTCGCGGCGAAGACGTGGTGGCCAGCCGTAAACTAATCGTAGGACCGCAATCAACTGAAAAACAACAAAAACAAGTACCGCAGTAGTAGGCACAGTGCAAAAACAGCAACGGAAGTCCAGGAAGTGCACCTTTTTAAGAGTTCGGACAACTTAGGAATCGAGGGGCTGGACATAGGGCTCTCCTCCGGCGGAGGAGCCCTCTGGCGGTCCGGGTGGCGGAGGCAGGGGCCCCTCCTCAATGGCGGCGGCGGTGGAGGTGGCAGTGATGAGTGACGACTGAGTGAGACTGCGGAGCGACGACCGCCGCTGCTGTTCACGTCGCACGGCAGCCTCTTTGTCCCACGGCTTCGCCTTGACCCGGTAAAAGCGGGTACCGGCGGGCACATGGTATCGGTTCTGCGGCTGCATGTCAAAGAGATTTGAAAAGTGAGGTACGTGGCGGGCACTTTAATCTGGCAGACCAGCCTCACTTCTTTATCCAGCAACACTATTTATTTAAGCTGGGGCTGACATGAAAATTTTCTTTCCTTTTGTGCCAAATAAAAGGCCTAATTCTGGAGAACTTTGCAAATGTAGCGGTAACCGTGAGTGTGCCCCAAGAAATTAAAAGCTTTTGAAAGCTAGTTTAATTTCCTACGAGAATAGCCTGACGTCATGACACGGCATGAGCTTGTCGGCACACGCTCGCGCAAGATATTGCAACGTTTTCATGGCCCCTCCGCTCTGTGTCCACTGTTGATACACAAGTGGCCATTTTGCACATTTTGGTGTGTGCTATCATCACAACTAGCCACATTGGCATGTGAAGTCATCCGAACTGATATCGTAGCCAGACATCATGCTAGTATCGTTGTGAGGACGTGTGCCACATCAAAAGTGATTTGAATGTCAAAGTAAAATATCAGCATCCACAGAGCTTCACACTTGCTTAGAGTCGTCTCTGTATTCAGGAGATTTGTACGGCAAACTGAAGTCAGCTTCGAAACCTTGTCAGTACTCTCTTGCACAGCTCACAGCTGTCCTCACTTCAGGCTAGCCCGTTTTCACAAGTGAGTAGCGAAGGATATTCTCACCTTGCGAGCTTGGCAGAATTCTTTCTCGCTCACCTCAGCCAGGACCCAACCTTTGCGAACTGTGCCAGGTGCTGGTGACAAGAAAAAAAAAAAAAAGACATCACAAATGGCTATTGTGGACATTAACAGATTAATGACAATTCAGGCAGCAGCCCCAAAGAAAGAGAGAGCTCTTGTTGTATACTGACGCTCGCTCCTAAGTTGACACATTACGTAGCCTGGTAAATCAACCCCGATATTGAAGAGTGCCATCTGACGGGTGTACACACACACAAACTACATTACAACAAAGTTGCATTTTACCGCAAAATAAGTGCTTTATTCATTTATATATTTATTTATTTACTGTCAACCCCGTGCTTTGGGTCACTACAGAGAGGGTGTCACATGATACATACTATTTGCACAATAAAGAAGAGAAAAAAAAAACATTCAATAGCACACAGGAATAACATGAATAACCATAATCAGAAAACAAGAAACAAACTACAGTCATTATGCCGGCAAAAATCGCAAAATAAATGCTCGTGCTGGGAATTAGCTAGCATCACAACAGAGAAATAGTCCAATGCATCTTCGAAATCGGCTGATGTTGCACGTTGTACAACAACACTTGGTAAACTATTCCACACTTGCAGTCAAACCTCATTACAACAAAACTTAAATCTTCTGCGAAAACAGGTTCCTCTTATCTGAAAATTCGTTACAAAGGTTGTTCCTAACACTGTATTTGTTGCAAGACTATTCTTTGTTTACTTCATTATAACCAATATTTCATTATATCCGAGTTTGTCGTATCGAGGTTTTAGTGTATTGTGCAAAAAAAAAAGGAGTGCCGGAAAGCATTTGTGCGCGTGAAATAAGGTCGAACAGACATAGTACTACTCTGGAGACAGCGATGTACTCGGTCTGTTCGTTATAAAGGGATATATAGAAAATCCTGACACTATATTGCAAGACTACACTCAATTTACTTTGTTATAAGCAATATTTCACTATATCCAGGTTCATTATATCCAGGTTTAAGTGTATAGGCTAATGTTTTTTCAGTTCTGGTCACCAAGTTTTTGGTTTTGCGACGGCAATAAAAGTTTATTGCGAATACGGCTTCCTGCCTAGAAATCGTCATAAAGCGTCATCAAAAGAGCTTACTGCCCCACAAATTGATGCAGCAAAAATGTTAGTAATCCAAGTACGAGCGCTTCGAGCACTCTCCCTTTCCTTCCACACAGGGATGACAAAGAAGATGCGCCACTACATCAGTGTGCATCATGACCTTGAGCACATAGCTTTGTTTTCTTTGAACATGCGGCTTACTCACGACGGGATCACAAGTGCTAGCACGAGCACGCAGTGGCGTCCTGAGGTAACCACTGTAACTATGCAGCTATGTTTAAAGTACACCAATGGCTGCAAACTTTGCAATTATAACGTGGTAATTTTCTGTACACGGCATGATTTGTAAAGAGAGGAGCAAGCGTTTTTTAGCAGAATTTGAAGACTAATTGTGCACTTTAAAGCAGTTTAATGTTTGGCACGCGTGTTTTCGAGAGCCTCAACTTTGGTAGCGTCTCCCAACCATGCTGAAAAACAGTTGTAGGGCCCTTTCAACGCAATTCTTAAATGGAAAAAACTGTTTTGCTAGTATATTGTGGTTTTAAGATACATTTTGCCAATTTTTTCATAATAAAAAGTTTACATGATATGAATATTTTGGTAGATTCGTACCACTGAAATTCTACGGTTTTTAATTACACTGTGCAATGGGATTCAACATTACTTAGCAAGGTCTCCGATGTCTATCCTGCTAGAAGAGGATGATTTGTCGTGGCACCACAAAAAAAAAGTCTCCCTTTCCCCAGCTATGCCTACATGAACCCCTCAGCCCTCAAAAGTGGGAACTCCTTGCCACATGTAGTGAACGCCCCACAGTGAGGCGAGGCGCTTCTGCATTATGTGCATTATGCTGTAAATCGTCAACAACACATTGCTGTGCTCGTTCACATTTTTACAGCCCTTAGGCTCTGAAACATAAGTACCGTTCCAACCTTGTTTAGGCAATTATCAGCTGTATTTTTCCAAATTACGCACTCCGCTGTTCCCCAGCAAACATGACAAGGTGGATTTACATGTCAGCGATTCCAGGAAGACTTCTTGCATTGGAGCTTACAATAGTGAAACAGCAAACAACCATGCAAACAAAGGAACATACAAGTCACCTCTACTCACCTGTCTTAAGGCCGAGCGTGTCGAGGCAGTCAGTGTGCAGGAAGTGCAAGTTCGGTCCTAGCACGAAGAGGACGTAGTTTTGGTGACCTTCGTCGTAGCAGAGTAGCACGACGTCACCTGGCTGGCAACTATCAATTAGAGAAAGGACACCGACGAAATATGAATTAATGGCAACTATCCAGTCTCTCACCGTATTTCAGACAATATCCCTACTGGCACCAATGATACCTGAATGGCAGTTACAGTTGAAAGCAGAGTTTCGTCATCTGTTTTGGTTCTTGTAAACAAACCTGTTCCATATTTCAAATTCTGGGGGCCATTACACAATGCTTCCCAGGAGCAAATCGTAGTGCTGTCGGTATATGCACTAATACTTGAGCAGGGCTGAAAAACGTGACTCCAGATATCAGCTGGTATCGATTTGGTAACAGTCCCAAACAGTGCACAAATGAAAAATACTAGAATCCCTGCCATCTGTTCGACATTTTCCAACAAGCCCTAGAAACTTTACGACAGAAGCCTGAATACTGGCAGCTATGCATTCAGAGTCCCCTGGCAACGTCTACTGTTGATGTAGAAGCTCAATATGACGTACGAGAGGATGGAGACCTTGTCGATGGGGGATGGTTGAAGCTGAGTGCCAAAGTTGTCGGACATGGCCATCTGTAATTCGCACAGCAGAAGCCAGCAATGAGAACAAGACAAGCAGATTCTAACCTTGCTAGTATTCGTTCCAGTCGGACTTTGCTTCGGGCAGTGCATAAACAACAAAATGGCATCTCTCGTCACATGTTTTTCAATTACGTTCAATCACTTGCTGTTTGCAACAATCCCATCATTTCAATCATACACATTGCATATGTAAGTGGCAATCCTAGGCGGCACTTACAACCACGCAAATGTTTGCTGTAGAATAAGTCCACTTTCTTTTGCCGGCCGTGTTGTAGGCTTGGTGGTTCCAACTCGCTCAAGTGTTCAGCAAAATGGAGTTAAAAATATCAACTTACAACTTACAAAAATATCAACAATTTAAAAATATCAACAATTTAAAAATATCAACAATTTAAAAATATCAACTTACAACTTGTTGCTGCAGTCTATTGACTTCATTTTGCTTCTCAAGCAATTGCTGTAAGGAGATGAAAACAAGTGATTAATATGCAGTATGCTTGCCATAATTGTAGAGACAGCTTTATCAAAAGAAACTTTGCCAGACTTGCCAAAGCATGTAAAAGCACATTGTTTTTATATTATAAAATGGAAACGTAAAGTTCTCGGAATGCAGTTTGTCAATTTAAACCAGGTCATCGTTTCTCTTTAGTGTCCCTTATATTCAGGTGAAGAAGGACAGCACTTACACTCCTTAACTCCAGCAGCATGGGGTCAGCCGAGTGGGGAAGCTTCACAGTGGACTCCCTAAAGTGAAGCAAGGAAATGAAAGAAAGCAATTTTAAGATCATTTCTGCATTTTAATGGCAGAGAGTTGCAGGATAAACCACTTTCCGAGCAGCACCAACCTTTCTTGAGGCAAACCCAAACCACGAAACTGGCTCGCCTAAAATAACACTCCCCAACCACAAACTCAAAGTTGTGCAGTTAGACTTACGGCATTTGCCTTTTACTTCCGACAGGGCAATAAGAGGAATAGCATTTCTTGATGTTTCATTATTATCACTCAAATTTCTAGGCCTGTGCGAATAGTCGAATGCTTCATATATTCAAACGAATAATGCCTTATTAAAATTCACTTCGATTGTATTCAAACTATTGAAAATTTCGTATTATTCTGAACAAACGAATAGGTGCATATTAGTCCATATGTTACACCCTGTAAAGATGGTTTCAGTGCAGTGAAGCCCGTATCCAAGGGAATTGATTGATTGATTGATATGTGGGGTTTAACGTCCCTGAACCGCCATATGATTATGAGAGACACCGTAGTGGAGAGATCCGGAAATTTCGACCACCTGCAGTTCTTTAACGTGCACCCAGATCTGAGCACACGGGCCTACAACATTTCCGCCTCCATCGGAAATGCAGCCGGGATTCAATCCCCCGACCTGCGGCTCAGCAGCCGAGTACCTTAGCCACTAGACCACCGCGGTGGGGCGTATCCAGGGGAAATCCGCACTGCCGCAAAGCCCCACTTTAAGGTTGAATAAAGGTATTACCCTAACATCGATTCATTTTTGAAGTTTGAAAGCTTGTTATGCCGACTTACATGCTCCAAGTAGAGCAAACTTTAAAACGTAATATATTTTACAGGCTATCGCTTGCGTTTTTACCAGAAGTCAAATTCTGCTACTGTTCAAAGGTGTTGCTGCTTTCTTAAAAGCAGAAAAAAAGAAGGCATTTGCACAGGCCTTGTCATAATTTTTTTTTTTAATTTTGTGTAGGTTATGACAAATATGCCCATTTTTCTTAATAATATGCTACATATATGCTATTCGAATTCGATATGAAATTATTCGACCAAAATCAGTATTCGTTTCAAACCTAAAATTCACTATTTGCACAAGCCAACAAATTTCAAAACAATTTTCAAAACAAGCACTAGCAAAGATTTCAGATAACTGTTTACTCGGTCTCCAAAAATTTTACATGCCAACAGACCGGATTAAAAATTTGCATCTTATGCAGAGTTTACAAAAAATTACAGACTTCGTTAGAAGCAGCAGGATAGCAGTAGCTGATGGATTATAAAGAGGGTAGCCGATGTTCCAGTCAAAATTTAAAAAAAAAATGGGCACAGGGGAAAACCACATCACGCACTGAATATGTAGGTTACAACGTGAACACCGAATAAGATGGCCGATGCATAGTAGGTTGTGTGAAAAATATTTCAGAATTCGCAAGCATATTACAAAGCCAACTGGCAACACAGTGTGCAAACACCACCTCCTTAAAAGGTGCTCCTATCCTACAGTTGACGTACAATAGGCAAATTACTAGTTCATTTTCCAGCTGCACTCACATCATGCTGTCCCCAGATGGGTCGAGTTTCGCCTCCTCAAGTGAGCAGGAGTCACCCGCAGCTGTGTCCAAGTCTTCATGGACTCCCTCATCTGCAGGAGCTGCAGGGTAACAACATCACGCACATGCAAGTGATCTTTATTTGGAGGGCTCATTTCCCGCCAAACGTCCCAGACATTACGTTTGGGCCTCTCAGATAGTGTTCTAAAAAAATTGTGGGCAATTATTTTAATGAGCACATTAAAGAGACATTAGTTGCCTGCACAGTCGACAATAAGAGTGTGAAAATGTATAGAACACGCATGCTAAAAATTCCTCGGCAAGCCACCACATGCAAGTATTGCACTTTCAAGAAAATGAATATACCTGCAGTGTTGTCCTTTTTCTTTCAATTTCGTACACCACAGTTTTACATTTTCACAAATTATGCATTCTTTTTCACCACATTTCCTCTGAGTAAGTAAAGATAACTGCTGCAAACACTAAAACGATCCAGGCCTGCAACTGGAGTGGGAGGGTTGCACAAGACTGTTTGTTGCCATGCTCTTGGGAGGCTCACCTTGAAGCCTGGCATCCTGCTTTCCCACTCCTGCTGAAGCTCTAGCCTCGTCTGTTCTTTGGCCTTTTGGATCGCTTCTTCGTGGCAGTGTTGAATCCTGCAGGCGGTGTAATGTTGAACACCTCTCCTACGAATGCTCTCGTTGAGAAGTGAATGGCTGCTCTGCCCATTAACCAAGGCATATACAATGATACCTCACTAATTATACAATTCCCAAAATTAGGTTATTAGGACGTGCCCTCTGGTACTGGCAAGCTTATGTATTGTTCAATAGCGTCAAACTTTTGTTAATTCAATCATATATGAACGCAACCTGGTTAATAGGAACAATTCTTAAAGCACACCGAGTGGAAACCATCGTGATTGGGTAACGTGTAGGAGCGCGGAAAGACCATAACAAAGCACCGTATTCTACATCATCATCATCATCGAAGCGAGCTGTGCCGTAACACAATTCAGTAACACATTTAGGTCAATTTGGGGTCAGCTCATTTGAGGTTAGCTGGGAGAAGAGGTTTTGAGCCGCAATAACATTGTGAACAAAACCGCGAGTGGTGAAAATTGCGGCGTTTACACTGTTATTATGCAAACTAAGTACAGAATTTACGCACCCTGCAAAAAGATAAAAGTGCACTGACATCAGATACATCTATTTATTGTTTTACCTGATACTATTGATGATACGAAATTTGATTAATTCTGACATTTTTCCAGTGCCATGAAATCTGAATTAACGAGCTTTTACTGTACTGTGTTTTGTGAATTATTCAGTGATAATGATAAAACTTTTAACTCGATGGCTTATGCTCAAAGGCATTCATTTGAAGAAATGTACGATAGGATCAATTCATTGAACACTTGTAGCTTTCCCACACAAAGATACTTCCCACATAAAGATGCAGTCAACACTCATAGTAATAGACCCACATACAACAAACTTCCGGATAAAACAGACTATTATTCAGCCCAAGTTTGGTCTTTGTATTAAATTAATGGAGTGAAGTTTGCTTTTAATACACCACAATTTATTTTTCAAAACCAGGGCGCTTAAAGCATACTTTTGCCGTATTAACACATGCTGACAACCGCTTTGACCTACACCAATCTCTGTGAGCTAAAGCCACGGTAAGTTTACAAGTGCGGCTGGCAACACCAGTGGCTTCTGGCTAAGCCAAGCCTCCAGCCTAGCCAGTATGAGAGCACGTTGGCCATGCCAATGGTTAGTGTGTTGCAGCTGACTCGAATGCAGCCTAAAGTGATTGCATCATCGCTCAAGGGTGCTTGCCAATCTCTTATCATGAATTTTTTTTTGAGCTAAGAGTAAATAAGAAGTTTCTGTTGTGTTTTCAATTAGACTTTCATCACTCGTTGCAGTAACGTTAGGCATCGTGACCCAAGTTTTAAAAGTAAGACGTTATGGTGCTAAAACAGGCGAGTTTCACTGTAAAATTATTAATGTGAGAGGGGCCTTGGCGCTGCTCAGTTCAGAACTGTCAGACCAACTTTGTACAGTACAGCGAGCCGTGGAGGCTGTTCAAGAGCAACAGCTCCCAGCAGCCTATAGAAGACTCCATGTAAGCAGATATGCCTCCACGTCCAGACAACAGGAGTTGCTGAAAAAGCCTGCCAAAAACGTTTTGTAATGGGGCTAAGCTTTGCTACTGTTCAGGTGCTATATAGCGTCCCTGCACCTCCTGTAACGCCACTCGCTCATTAATGAGAATTTGCACTGCACTTGTGTTAATAGCCGTTGCTGGTGATTTGAAGTATCTTGTACCCGTGCTGTTGAATACACTCTGCATTTATCGGCAGAACTAGCATGCCTCATACGGCCGAGCGAAATCGAAACGACTGTTGCATGGCAATGCAACCTCCCGCACCCACTTCGCGCCGGTGTTTGAATATTACGGACTTCGGATGATACAGAATCATTTTGCCAGATTGTAATGGTCCACTGTAGTGACTGTAGCAAAACTTCTGCCTGAACCCAGCATTCACCAATCCAACAACTCCTGTCCCAAGACAAAGCCCTGCAAGAGTCTTGCTTACTGGTCGAGCCTCTCCTCGTGCAGGGCGATGAGCTCTTCCCGGATGGCCTGCTCTCTCTGGGCGCACTCCTGGCGGCACTGTGCGAGCAGCTCTTCTTTCTCCAGGGAGAAGCGAGTGTGCAACTGCTCCTCCAAGACCTGCCTGTCCTGGAACAGCATCTGGATCTGCCGGTCCTTCTCGCAGATCACCTGCACCAACATCAAAGGATTGCAAGAGAGCTCACTCAGATTTGGCTGTGCTGTAACGCCATGCACTGCCCTAATCAAGCTTTGTTCGCCAATTCAGACCTTGTCACCAATATTCCAGAAAAAAAAACGGTACGTATTTGCTGCGATTAAAAAGCTTTCCAGAATCAATGAAAAGCAAGCAAAAGTCAGAGGTTACAGCGTAAACCAATGCTTGAACTGAATTCTGGCGTTTTTTTTTTGTTACACAAACACACAGTGCGCCTTGAGGGGGCAGACTGCTTTTGGACACTTTTTCTTTATTTCTTCAGTGATCATGATGAAACTGCACAGGCTTCTGCTGTTTCTTCTGTCGATTTCAAATATGCAATCACTTTTCCTGTAACTCATCTCATTCCCAAGATGATGCAAGTTCCATCTCCATTGTTTAAGGCCTTGTTAATACAAAAAGTGCCTAATTAAAAGCAACATTTAAGATATGGCTAAATGGAATAATGATTGAAGATTGAAATAATGGAATTAATTTATTTTATTTGTCTTTTTTAGTTATTTTATGGCAGACTGAATTTTACGCTCTGAAAAAGCAGTTGGCATGCTATTACAAATTTGATAAATAATTAATTGAAAAGGCTTGTTATCTAAATTCCATTTTCATACTTGCATTCTACACACATACAGGTTTCTATTGCAAAAAGAATTATTGTTCTAGCTGTCATAGCTGCCGAGATATTGAGGCCTCAAGATTAAACAGAGTTATAAATTCACATTTTGAGAAAAATGGCAAGAACAGATAACACACACTATATACAAAAACAACAATAAGAAAATGCATGTTTCACAAAGTAGATACTAATATCCGCCAGGAACACTGACTGGTGCTTAGCACTGCGGTGGCGCTTTAGTGCTTGCTGGAGCTTTTCACTAGAGGCATGCTTGCGGTTTGAGTCAGCCACTCGCCACCTGTCCTTCGCCTGATGCATGGGAGGCTGGGGTTGAGATTGAGTTCAAGGATGCCTGTTGATGTTCTCAAGTTGCCGCCATTGAATTTCATTACCGCCTCCGCAACTGCAGCTTCAACCGCAAACGGTGAAGCATGGCGCTGCTTAGGTGCCAAAGCCCAGATCATAGAATGAAGGCTTTCATTGCTATTCTGGGTTTTACCTTTCGCACCTTTCTATAAGCCCTTTATCAGACAGGAGCTCATATACTGGCAGAAGAGCCTTGCACACATGTTGAGGCAAATTGTAATGGTGCCTCGGAGCTGGCTCCCCTTTGGCAGCAGCTGTGTTCTGCCTGCACCAAGAGTCTGGGCCTGTGGGACACAGGCTGTGATTCGACTCACTATCATTAGAAGTGACGTGATAGTAAGTCGCCATCACAGCTCTGTGCATGGCGTCAACATCTTCTTTGCGAGATTTAAGCCCGCAGCCATAATAAGGACTCAACTTTGTGATGAGGTCCCCGGTGAGCTTTCCCCTTCTTTGAAGGGTTTACCAGGCACCTCCTTTTTCCCTTGCTACTAAATTGCGTAGGGCAGTGCCCATATGCTTTTGGATGTGTTGACACAGTCCTCCTTTGTACTTTTATGAAGCCGTAGACATCCACTTCTTGCAAAGCTAGAAAGGTGCGGCTGTCACCATATGACAAGATTGTCGTGTACTTCAGGCCATTTTTTTTAGAAAGCTTTCAAAGAGGAGCACAGCTGCCTGAACTTCCATTTCGCCAGCTTTTTATTGTACTATTTTTTTTTTGGCACACGTGGCTGTCCTGCCAAGCCTGATATGCCGGGTCGTCTTCCTTCGGTCCACACTCACACCCGGCACAGTAGTTACTCAAAACCACATAGTCCAGCACTAGGCCAGTGAAGAGCTCAATCACTGCCCCTCACGCATAAGTGGGATGAGTGTCTGCGCGTCACCCACGAGCCATTGTACGAGACTGCAATAGTCGGCATAGTCAATATGCAGCTCCTTGTACAACTTGCGAACTGCACTTGTGCACTCGCCCATCACTTTTTCGGCCGCGCAATTAGCTGCAGGTGTCAATTTTCGCTTCACATATCCCTGCCATGTTTTCTTGTGAAGTCCGCAATGAGATATATTCATGGTCTAAAATATATCATTCATAGCCGCTTGACAGTTCCCAGTAGCCTGCATGACTCGAGCAGCGAGAATATTGACGGTGAACAAATTCACTTTCTGTGCGCCACCCACTCGCGGAGAGCTCCACGCTTGCGCGATGGAGCCACAGTTCACGCAATGCGCACACATCTTCACGGCAAGGCCGTATTGCCTGTCCTTTCTGTGAATACTGACACTTCCGTGGCAAATTTTACATTTCATGGCATCCAGCAGTTGACTGATGCAGCCAAGATCGGCATTAAAAAATCTTGCCTCCTCTTCGCTTTGCTTTGGGGGAGCGGCGCCGGCCGATGCGTCGTTCCTCAAAAACTCAAATTTTCTCTTCGACGCGGCCGTCGGTGCCAGTTCCTGCAGCCTTGAGTTGGCCTTTGTAAGTCTTACCTGCAACTCCGATTTCATTAGCAAGGTTGTGTCAGAGCGGACGCGGCCGCTGCTTTGCGAAGCGTCGGTGGCCGGCAAACCCACTAGGCCTAACTCTCTGTCGACTGTCTCGGGCGCCTCGGCGATTCCTTTGCTGTCGGCGGACGAGATGGCGGTCGTGGAGTCTTGATGTGCACAATGTTCATTTGCACGTTCCGATGATGAATGCGCCGACGATGCGTCAGGTTTGGGAACATCGCAGGCTGGCGAGGCCGTCAAGCTTGCGTCGGCGGCATCGGCGGGCAACTTATCCCGTTCTTCGTTGGCGCTACTCGCCAAGAGATGCACCTTGAAGTTGTTCACCTGAGCCTTTCTTCATTTTTTACCGAACTTATGACGGGTATGAAACTTTCGCTATAATCTCGGCATTGCAACAACTTCGATCGTGAGCATGCTAGTCAAAGCACAGGCTGTATGGCGACACAACACATTGTTCGCGAATCGTTGACGCGCCGAGCAGACGATGCGAGCCCAATCAGCCAATGAAGTGGCCACCTCATGGTCACGTGCGCTCAACAACCATTAGCGTCGCGCACATTGATTTTTTTCGGTAGCTTCTTTTTGGCAACCAACGAGCGCAGCAAGGTTGTTGGAGTGGGAATCGGAAGATGGAGAAACGCACTTTTTCGGACGAGACCAAGATCGTGGCTATGGCATTCTGCAAACGGTAGCTCTGCGTCGCAAAAAAAGGTGTTTTTTCGTCAAATTCTGCGCAAAACGAGTTTGTGAGTCCTCTTTTGTAATGATATAACAAGTAAATTATCGCTTTCTGGAGTCTGAAAATTGGCAGGCAGGTGTAAAAATGCTTGCAGATCTCAAAAATGCCGTTGAAAAAAAAAAATGTTTCTTTCGCGATTTTTCGGTCCCAAAGACCCATCTACTTCCTCAAATGATGAGGCACACTGCTGTAAAAAATTCTGAAGACTGCTTGAGGTTCTGTAACAACAGCCTAAAGTCCACCTACGTGGGCATTTTTTGTGTTCAGCTTACATTGAAACATGGCCCCTTTTCAGCCTTGTGGCAAAAATTTTGTTTAGCATCCCTTTAAACTTCGTACAGGCAAAGATAACTGGACCTTATAGCTGACGATTACATTTTGAGTAAACAACAGCAAACTTCCCCAGCTCAGTTATCAACATTCTCAAGACTGAGCAACACCAGGCTTCGCTGCTGAACGTTGACAACTGTGGCACACTGCATTGACAGGTTCCGCAAAAAGAAAATAAATTTGGAACCAGCGAGCTTACTTCATTGAGATCTTGGACTTCCTCCTCATGGCTCCTCTCGAACGCACGCAGCCGCTCGTTCAGGGCCTCCTGTTCCAGCTCGTGCTCGAGCGTGGCTTTGGCAATGGCAGACTCGTGCTCCTGCTGCATGGTGTTCTTTAACTGCAGACGGGCGTCCAGGGGTGAGGGAACACAATTAGCATTTTTTCAGGGATCCCCATTGTGTTTCACCAACTAAGTTTGTGCAAACAGTCAGCAAGTAAGAGCGATAAGATAAGAAAAACTGTTCCCTTCACTTTGCATACACATTTCTGCATAATAATGATGTCCCGATCTCACTAAACGCTTTCCTTGCATAATGTATGGTTTTTTCCTCTCACTGGTGTCAATTGCCATAGCTTATTGTTGCTCTCCCGTACATACATATATATTAAAAAGCAAAACTCTGCAGCAGAATCTTTGTAAGCAGAGCAATTGGTTTAGATTTGGTTGGTTTTGTATTTGGCTGCTGCGTCTCTCTACATCTGTTTAACATTAAGCTACCGTATTTCGTATGCAGCTGAATCTAGCATAGCTTATTTCATTTGTTCCTTCTACCTGTCTTGCAACTCTAATGAGCAAGTCGTCAATAAATAATCATTCCCAAGTTTTTACATGGCTCCGTTGAGCTTGCTTTGTCTGTAGCTCAATACATTACCGAACCTAGAGTTTGAGATGGCGGCGACTGGCACTACCACCAAACATATAATAAATTGTGACAGGACATCAGCAGAAATAAATCATTAAATTCATTGTGCTCTTCAATTTCACTTTTTGAAAAACAACACCGGCAATTTTTCATATTCATTGTTTTCTATATTTCTTCATGTGTAGAAAACATTTCTGAATTCATTATACGGTCCATCAACAAATTACCTGAATGCATCAAATTTTTGCAGGGCACCTCTGCTTACTGGCCCTACGCTCCATCTCAATGCATCATAATATTGCATCCCGTTCTATCCCAGAACGCGTACAAGATTGAACCCATGGGGTTAAATCTTGCACGAGTGTTCAGTCGTGAACACTCGTGTGCTTAGACTTAGGTGTACAAAATTGAACACATGGGCCTCATTCTCGTACGCATAAATCTGAGCACACGAGTCCTCTTTGCATTTTGTCCCCACCACAATGCAGCCCCACTTGGCTGGAAGAACTGGACCCCCATCCACCGGCTTAGCGCGGCAAGACACAATCCGTGCTAAGCTAGCGCAGGGAGTACTTACCGAGGCAAGGGCAAGTGCCGAGTCAGTGCGCAGGCTGTCAGCAACCTGCATGAGCTGTTGGAGCTGCTGCTGGTACATATGCACCTCGCGCTGCGCGTCCTCAAATTTCTGCCGCTCCACCTCCAGCTGGTGCCGGTGGTCTTCCTCCGCCGACTCAAACTCCCGCCGCACCCTGTCCACCTCGGTTGCTATGGACGCGGCCTGCGGAGAATGAGAGCTTTAAGTCACGAGATTTCAAGACCTCGAAACTGTGCACAGCAAATATAAAAGAATGTGCAGTGGAGGGCTCTAGGCTCATCTTGAACCTTACCCAGGGAATATACTGTCGACCCCAGGTATATCCGACACCGATATATTGAATTTTTCGCTATATCAAACAGTGGATAAGTCCCCTTGAATTTCCCAGTCAAAAGTATGCGACTAGTGCACACATATATTGAACTCCCACAGAGCGTAACATTCTATAATAACAAAGTTGCATCTTACACGAAAATAAGTTTGTTACATTTGTAAATTTGTTATAAAGGTTCATTTCTAACACTATATTTATTGGACAATTTTTCATCTACTTCGCTATAACCGATACTTCTTTATATCGAGGTTTTAGTGTATATCGAACGCTGCGCCATGCCGAAGCCCAAAGAGTGCATTTATTTTGACAAAGATAGGTCATTTTTCGGCCGTGTTCCAACGACTTTCTATCGCTTCTCGCGTGCAGGCGACGAAAATGCAGAGCAATATGTAGGTTGTGCACGTCTGTGAACGCACCAGCATGTGACGTGCAATCTGCTGCTGGTTGTAATGCGTGGACACAGTGTTTTGGCCAATTTCTAAGGGCACCAAAATTCCATGAAAGCGAAGTGACTCAGCGGCACCGCAATGTGCACATTTCCTTTCTGTTTACTTGTTCGCGCATCATTGCATGCAGCCCCAAAAAGCATTACCTATGATTGCATGCAGCCCCAAAAAACATTACCTTCAACAATCGCAACCTTGCGGCATATTTTTGGCATTTTCGGTTATATAATGCACATCTAGCTACATTTTTTTTTTATTTCTACATTTTTTTTATTTCTTTTTGCTTGCTGCTACAAAGACTCAAGTACCATCGCCAAGATATCAATGGTGCAGTACATGGTCGTTTGTCATTTGTGGACAGCATTGTCACTTCTGGCTTGTGCACTTCAGTAGTTGGTGCTTCGTTACCACTGAATCTGATTGATTTGATTGATATGTGGGGTTTAACGTCCTAAAACCACATGATTATGAGGGACGCCGTAGTGGAGGGCTCCGGAAATTTACACCACCTGTGGTTCTTTAACGTGCACCCAAATCTGAGCACACGGGCCTACACCATATCCATCCAGAGTCAAACTAAACATTGCATCACTTGGATCAATAACAATGATGACTCGTGCTTAAAAATGACACACAGTTTCTTTGTGGGCTTTTGGACAAGCAATGACTTTTAATCATCTTAGCTGACGACTTGCTAAGCTGAATCTTGCTACTTACAGTAGAATCTCTTTAATGAACTTTGCGAGACTGCCGAACTTGTTCGTTGTTCTGAAACATCGTAGTATTGAAAAATGATGTCTGTAATTTAACACAACAATAATCATGTACCTTTGCAAGAGGTGCACACGTTTGGGCATAAACAATACACAAAAACACTGGGCATCATTTGGAAAAATATTACTGCTTAAAGAAGTCCTTTATATTCTTCTGGCGAGTAGAGAAAGCAGATGCTAGTGCACACATGTCTACACATTTGCAATCTTCCTAAGGATGTCATTGGGTACATCCGGGCAGCACCCTTGATACGATCGGGTCTTCTTAAGGAAGACCACGACATCCGAGCTGAAAATAGTGTGTTTCGTTGTCCCAGTCTCTGCACCTGCAGTGTCGTCATCGTCACTACTAGAGCAATTTTACTTTATTAGCATTTCGGGGCGTCACCTCAGGCAGGAGTACAGAATGAGGCTTCATCAGTGCAGATGGCTACGTCAATGTTTGACTGCATTCATGCCGATATCACAGCTGACGTAGCCAGTGCCGTGGAAGTGCCATGCAAACAATATTGCTACACATTTTACCACGCTAAGAGCTTCCATATGTGCTCATTGTCAATCACTGCTGTAGTGGATGAAGGTGCTGAATTTGCGTATTTTGAAAGCTTCAATGCTCAATTAAGGAGGGCGACTTGATGAGCTCGATGGCTATAGAGACTATTTTCACGCAAAATAAAGTGCGGTAACTTGTAAAAGAAGTTGTCACTTTTTTCTTAAGCCTGATGTAAACATCCTGATGTGAACACTTATTACGATTTTTGAAAGTCGTTTTGAGAGTTGCAATGCATTAATATAAGCGTTAAATATGCATATTTCCGATTTCGTATTATTTATTATTGATATATGACACTATTTCACAATCCCCTTCAAGTTCGATATGTCCGGGATCGACTGTATCATATTTGTTCATTGTGTGACAGCACAAAGAGCTGAGGAGAACCCAAGTAGAAAAAAAGCAAACTACCATCTGAAGATTTATTCAAAAAGCAAGCCAAATATAAATGAGCAGAAATGCAAGACAGGGGAAAGGGGGAAGAGAGAATGACGAGGAGGACAGCACTAGGAACCCGCACCACTCTTCGGCCTAGCGTTCGGAAGAGGGGGCGACATAAGGTAAACGTTCGCCGCGGGCGCAAGGCGCTGTTGACGAAGTCCGAACAAGCCCCACAGGGAGCTGATGGACGGAAAAGAAAAGCGTGCTTACCCCCATGTCGTCCCCGGAGAGGCCTCTCTCTGCTCCCGACGAGCGCGCGCAAGACCTCTTGGGAGACTTTGCGCGCGGCCCCACAGTCAACATCCTCTACCGGGTGAGAGGGTTAAACGTCACTTCGCTCTCTCAGCGCGGCAGACAGCGGAGGAGGGGAGACATGTCGGGACGCGAGAACGGAGAAAGAGGCGGCAAAGTCCGCACAAAGGCAGCGGGCTGGCCCCAATTCCCACAGGTGTCACAAAAGAGCGGTGGACACCCACAGTTCATGCAATGTGCCGCTAAATTACTTTTTGCACTGTTACACCATGAACCAGTACCAACTAGACCAAAATTCTACTATTCTATCTTACCTGTATATTGGATTCATGTTCAAGCCCATCAATTTTTATTTTACTGCCAGCAGTTTCAGCAGTAAACCCATTCTACAGAAGAATGTTGATCTTAATCTTAATTTCAACTACAAAGCAAACCTGTACACACTTCCATAAGAACATTTGTAGTGCAAGAAAAACAGACAAAACTTATTTCGTGTCCGAGTCTCTCGTACTACAAATCGCTTCTCACATAAAACTAACAGGCCCATATTGCCGCAATTGCAAAGAATTAAACAAAACTTCCCATCCCTGAGGACTATGCTTCTTGAAAGAAAGCAATGCTTCTCACTTCAACACATGTCTGAAACGTTCAGGATGATGCAACCACCCACACTAGGTGTCGAAAAGGTGTCCAAAGGTATGCGAGAAGTTCACTTAGCAAGATGTACAGGACTGCGCACCTCGTACTTGAATTTCATCACTGCAAATGTGGCTTCCGCTACTGACTCCAGCTGCTCACGACCAACTAATCGTGGAGGCCACGATACAACATGGAAGAAATGCTGAGCGATCTCAAACAACTTAATGATAACCATGTAAATAGCGGTGTCGATTTATTTCTAAGGCACAGAGCATATTTATATATCGCTTGGTCGGAAAAAAAATCATAGTGTACTCAAACCTCAATATAATGCATTCGGATATAACGAAATGTTGGTTATAACGATGTGGGTGACCAATAGCTTTGTTATAAATACAGTGTCTCAAATAATTGTTTGTGACGAATTTCCAGATATAATGAAATATTTTTACAGCAGATGCGAGTGTTATGATTAGATTGGAGTGTATATGACAAAATATAACTATTTTTCAGCGCCAATGCATCTAATGCAAGAAGTCTTGTTAGCTTACACAGCTTTGCACCCAACGTAAGAAAAGAAGTACAAAATACTCTGGCACAGAATGACCATGTGACTAGGGGGGGGAAAGTGGGGGGTCCACCAACATACCTTGTCATTCTCAAGCTTGTCTAGCAGGGCCTGAAGGGCAGTGTCCATGGCGGCCCCGATGGCCGATGCATCGTTGCTCACCATCTGGAGTGCAGCTGCCAGGTCGTCGCGAATCGAGGCGGCGGTCGAGCGAGAGTCTGCACACACTGCCGCTGCGGCTTCACACACATTTGTCACGGCACACCTCAGTTCTTGCCTCTTGATCCTTTCCCTTTCGAGCTCCTCCTGTGAAATCAACCATTCACAAGTTGTGTGCTGTGCAGAAAGAACAGTGCCAGTGAGAACTGCAAACAGCCCACTAAAAGTCTTCAGATTAGCCATGGGTGAATTTTCAAGCACTTTGAATGTTTGCACAAATATTAGAGCATTAAAATTCACTTAGACACTAATTTAAACCCCGGTTGAATCCCTTTATAAGAGACAAGCACTGGGGAGAAATACAGTCGAGCCCGCTTATAATAAACTTGAGCGTGACGCGGCATCCGTTCGCTGTATATAGAAGTTCGTAGTAAATGAAACACAGCTTTTAAAAAAGTTGCAAGTGAAAATACTAACTTTTTATGCCTCAAGAAGTCCATGATGCACGTGTTTCGAATAGCAGAAGCGATAAGGGCGGTCTTGAGTTCATTTAAAACAGCAGGGTGCTCGTTCACCGAGGCCCGTGACATAAGCTGCATGAGGCACTGACTCCAAAGTTTCGTTGTTCTCGCAATCTGATTCCTCCAAATCGCTCTCGCCACGTACCTTATTCAAAATATCCTAATCCGTGCACGGTTCCGCAGTGTCAGCATCATCATCGGCAGTAATTAAACCATCGCAACAGATGTCCCACCCGCTCTCCCAGGTCGGAGTCGACTACGTGCTGCCACAAATCGCCGCCGCAGTTCGGAAGCTTCAGGCTCGGCATCGGGCCTGACGTCAACGAAGTCGGCCTTGCGAAAACAGTTTCACGCGCATGTAGTCATCACCACCACCCACGAAATATTCACCATCTTCACAACTGAATACCGGGACGCCCAAAGCGGCAAGTTGGTTGCCAGGTGGTCAACAGCTATGAACAAGCGCTCCGCAACGCGGCACCTAATGTGCGGATTACGCTCAAGCCAAGCGATCACATTTTCGACATTTTGTTGACCGACAAGAAAAAGCGTGCTAGTCCTCCCGTCGGCCATCATGACCACACACGCACACCAAGAGCGAGCAAGACGCGCACACGCGACACGCATACCAGAACGCGTGGAACAGCCTGGGCCCGTTTCCAGTCAGAAGACGAAACTAATTCGAGCCAGCATGGCAGGTTGCGGAGCGGTGGAGAAGGGCGATGGGGTTGTGATCAAGAGAGGAGAGCAGACTTGCGAGGGAAGGGCAAGGAGTTGCGAAAAAGAGAGCGAAAGATGCAGCGAGAGAGCGACCTTAAAAATCAAAACACACGGGAAGGAGGCAGGTTAGGTAGCTTGCTTTAAAGGTCTGCGAAACTCACACGTATTGGAAAGAGTGCATGGTCGCCTGAATCTGTGCACGCGGCGGTGTTATAAGAATCAGCGGCCGAGGTCAAAAAATCGTTTTGTTGCGCCAGCGAGTTTGTGTGGCCTCACGAACTTCGATATTTCGCCATTCGTTCCGCGCACACTAACAGCCGTTTTCGCACTTCCTAACACACACGGACGGCATGTCGAGCCGAGTGCGAAGTGAGCAAGAACAAGTCCTAAACACGAAACGAATGGCAAATTATCAGAGTCGGTAGGGTAGCATACGCACGTGTACTAGACGCCAACAATGTTGGCAAATGGTCTGTTCACTCCAAGCCGGCGACGTCAACGACAGTACCAGCGATCAAAAACGGGGTAGATGGCCAACCGGTGTTCGAAATATCGGTGGCAGTGTGAAAACACGGGCCTTGTCTGCTCAGAGAAGCGGGGGGACAAAGGACGGAGGGGTGCGTAACAAAAGAGGTCGGGGAGATTGGCAACTAGAAAGGCCTGGAGGCAGGGTCGGCATTTAACAATAAGAATGTGTGGGCACCTGATCGATGCCTGATCGGTGGTCAAAATTGGTTTCCCGGGAAGTTGGCAGACTGCTGACTTCGTTCACTATAACCGATCAGCGGGGCTCGGAGACGTTCGTCATAAGTGCAATTTCGTGCCATTGAACCAGTGTACATTTTCACGGTCATGCGGATATTGTTCATTTTAAGCAAAAGTTCGTTTTAAGTGGGACCATTATATGTGGGCTCGACTGTATATGAGGCATCTCTTATTGGCATTTGCATTTTCTTATCAACACATGTTTCAATGTAGGCACACTGGTGTCTGTTACACCTATTTGTCTCTTAAAGCAGTGTCTCTTACAAAAGGGTAGAACTGTATTAAAAATTTCGGTGTAATCCAAACGAACATATAGACGCTTATTTGACATGTAACCCCGCTGTAACAACGGTTTCACTGCAGTGTGCACTGCAGTGACACCACCGATACAGAAAAAGTTAAAATTACTGCCGGCGTCAAAGCAATCACGAACAGCGGCAAGCATCGGCATTGGTATAGTGCTTGCGTCCAGTCACCACTACTGACAGGCGAGCACACCAGAATTGGCAGCACAGCGCGATCCCCCAATAGTGCAATATTTTTGCTCCTGCTCTAGTTTTGATGTGGTGACAAGGGCGGCCAGCGTGGGAGTGCAGACTGCTTTTTGGCCACTGCAATTTTCTTTGCTATTGTTTCCTTCCTTTCAAATATCAGAACTACTGGAACCAATGTGAAAATATCGCACTACAGTGGTACAGAGTAGAAATAACAAATTGGATATGTGCACCTGTCAGCGGCGACTGGATGGTGCGCATCAGATCATTGCTGATGTCAGCTGCTCTACGCAGTTCATTTGACGCAGATCACACTTACTATTGCAATGTAAACACAAAGAGCGGAAAACTTTTGGCTAGGTCAAACTACCCATGCTTTGAGAATTCTGCTAGGCAAATTTTAGCTTTCAGTCAACGTCACCGTAGGACTAGAATCTTGGTAAGGCCAGCGCTATCATACTGCGTGCACTTATCACCTTCTAGTCATGCGCAGAACTGGGCACACATGCTTACGCAATAAAGTCAGCTGGAGCAGGATTCTAGCATTGAAGTGGCGCTTGCTGAAAGCACATATTTGCCTGGTGACCGTCAAGGCATACGGAGTTGACTGGCCCAGAAGCCATGCCTACCACTAATTTCGTTTCTTTCCATCGCGATAGTACAAATTACCTTCACCTCTATTGACTATTTTTTAAATTTAAAAGCCCTTCATAAAGGTGCTACATGTAATAAATTTTAATGCATGCCATTTTTTTAATGCCCATAGCTTGCACCCAACTTCTATTCAAACTTCCCAGCTATTCAAAGTTACTTCAACTTCAAACCAAAAAAGCAATGCTTCTACACGTCTAGAGCCCATTTTTAAAAGCATTGTGGAAGTTAGTTGGGCCATGACAAAAATGCTCATGTTGATTTATAACATGCAATATATACTATTGAACTTCTAGATTCAAAATTATTTGACCCAATCACTACTTGCTTCGAGTTAACTTTGAACCTCAAATTCACTATTCACCCATGCTCAGTTTAGTCGTCTGCAACATGGACAACGTGTCATTTTTATGTTCGAAAAACGTGTAGATTTATTAACTGTCATGTTGCACAACGAGTGCTGCCACCCTTTTTTAGTGTTCCTCCAAGGGCCATTAGCTAGACGAACCCAGTCCACATGTCATTGCTTAACAAAGTAGTCTGCGAGTCTGTCCATTATTTTTTTCCTATTTGTGGCCCATAGAAACTACTCCTAGTTGAAATCCAGCTAGAGATCTCTTCCCTCTGCTTGTGCTACCCCCAGATGCTACTCTCTGGTATGCAAAGTTAGAAGAGGCAAGACACAACTCTTTGAAACCACCATCTACAATGTGCAAAACAGCTTTCTCTTCAAATGCATTTTCATTATTACGGAGAACAGAACCAGAAAAGGTTGCCTATGTGAAGGCCGACGGCAAGAGTTGACGCTGCCTACTGCTTTTTTTTCTCGCAAACATTCTTCTAGTGATGAGACACTTGAAAAATGAGCGAACTTGCTTGAATCGAAAATTTGTGTGCGGTTGCACCCCGATTTATCTTCGTTGCGAGTAAACTGCAGCGCTGAGAGTGCTTCTCCGATGTTATGAAAATGGCCGTTTCAACTTTTTATCACTTTGTACACACGATCACAACGAATACTTTAAACAGCTTCGAACAGTGTTCGAAGCGTTCGTAGTGAAAGTAGAAGGCTCTAAAAAATGTTCGCTATGTGTGATGCAGCTTTAATAATGGGTAGCATATAAAAATTATAAGTGTACCGATATATGGTCATAACCAATAGACCCCTATGTTTGGGACCACAGTAAGTGAGCTCGACTGTACAACGCCAATCATGGGCAGTTGTTCCATTTAGGCAGCACTTCCATTTAAATGATTTTCGTTTGCCGAGAGTCTAAAGTACACTAAAATATAAAAAATTATTGGTTATAATGAAGTGAACAATAGTTTTGTCACAGATAGTACACTAAAATATAAAAAATTATTGGTTAAATGAAGTGAACAATAGTTTTGTCACAGATAGTACACTAAAATATAAAAAATTATTGGTTATAATGAAGTGAACAATAGTTTTGTCACAGATACAGTATTACAAATATATGTTTTTTATGCATTTTTGGATTAACAAAGTACACTCAAACCTCATTATAACACAGGCGAACCTTGCATAAAAATAAGTGTTATATCCAAAAATTCTTTATAAAGGTTTATTCTTAACACTATATCTACTGCCAGACTACTTTTCATTTACTACGTTATAACCAAGATTTTGTTCCATCTGGGCTCCTTATATTGGTGTTGGAGTGCATTTTTATGGTAGGTACGACTCTTATGAGGTTTCAGTGTAGGCAAGTTACCTACAAAGTTAAGTAAAAAATCGATCAAGAATTGTAGAGAATTTAAAATAGCAGCTAAAAGAGCCCTCGAGTGGTGCTACTACAAAGAAGTGCCGTGTGCTTCACCTGAACGGCTAGCAGCGCCGTATTTCGCTCGTCTAGCTGCCGCTGAAGTTCGGCGGCCACGTGAGCCTGTTGGGCAGGCGCTGCTGATGAAGGTGGAACAGGACTGGGTGCAACAGGCACGATTCCGTTGCTGTCCGATATCGACGATGGCATCGACTCGTCAATGTAAAAATCTGCTGTCTGGAAATCATTTGAGGTGTGCCCCTGAATTTAAAAAAAGAAAAAGAAGCTATAGCTGTACAGCAACCATTTGTAAACTGTTTTTGCTCGGCAGGCAGATTTTGTAGCTCGTAAAGTAGTGTGGTCACAAGTCCCATGCTAGGCATTTCGCAGGGCAGCTACAATAGATCAATGTATCATATTCCTCTGCCTATAGTAAACACTGCCTAAATTAGGGGCTTCAAAATATTAAAAAAACAGGTAAAGTCATCAAGATTGACCAGTGTTTCACTGCAACACGTGCTGGTGTCCAATGCTCCTTAATGCCATGTTGGCAAATGTACACACATTAATATGATCCATGAAAAACTGTTGAATGAACGAGGTTGTTGTTGTTGAAGCCAATGTTTCAATAAGTGGTATTGTTTTTCAAGACAGCAACAATAATACGGCAACCTCCAGTTTACGAACCAGCTCCACTTTATGAACAGTCGAAACAGCAAAGCTTATGCACGCCCTTCATCAGACTGCATCGTACTTCTATACAGTTGCCGACCGTTTATTCGGACGGCGAAAATTCAGAAATGTCCGTTTATTCGGACATCTTCGTGGCACCGCCACTCACCCCATTGAACCTAATGGAAGCTCACGATCGAAAATTCAGAAGCCCCGCTATGCACCATTAGATTATTCGGACTCCGTTTGACTGACCAGATGCGTCGCCGTACACTATGACACGCTGACAGTGACACTAAGAATACGTTTGTTGAGTTGTCAGCACTGATATGCCGCACTAGCTATGGATGGACATCATGCCAATGCCAATTGCACACAGTAACCCGAATTGCCGATCTCAAAGGTCATGTTTGGCGACACGTTTTGGTTTTAGCCAGTCGAGCGGCCAAGCCAAGCCACCTAAAATTCTGTTCGCTGTGGCGTTTGGCATTAGTGCCAGTGTTGTCAGCGCGTCGGTAATGTCAGTCAGTTGCTTCTGCGGCTAGGGCTGGTTCGTCTCTCGCTCTCTTGCATGTTCTGTGGCGTGCTGAAATGACACCGACGCCACCCGTTGCAGCGCCGTCGTTGCTGCGCGTCGGGAGCCAACGTAGTAGTTTTCAGACGCTCGCGATGGCGATGAAAGCGGAGATAATTCGCCAGGTAGAGCCTCAGTCTACCTCAAACAGAAGGCTAAGATCCTGAAGGCAACTGAAAAAGCGCCTGCGGGTACACAGACGAATTTCCGGAACGGCAGCCACCGCAGCTTGAAGAGGCGCTGAAAATGTGGTTGAGTGCCACAGTGGCTAGGAAAATACCCGTGTCTAGTGAACTGCTGAGACAGAAAGCAGGGTCGCTCACCCTGCACAGGATATTACCAGCTGCAAGTTCAGCGACGGCTCGGTTGCACAACTTCAAGATAAGGTAAGACCTGGCCTTCAAGCGAATGTGCGGCGAGAGCGGTTCCGTCAATCAAACGCTCGTGACCAACTAACGCACCGCCAAGCTGTGCGCACTGCTGCCCCAGTATGCACCAGAAAATGTCTAATTGTGACGAACTGGACTTTTCTATAAGATGCTGCCCAACAAGACGCTAGCTTTGTCCGGCGAACCCTGTCATGGGGAGAAGCATAGCAAGGAGCGACTTGACAGTTGTTGTGTGAGGCAACATGACGAGGACAGAGAAACTTCCGCTCCTCATGATAGGGTAATAAAAAAATCCAAGATGTTTTGAAAGTGTCAAATCCCTCCCTGTGTGCATATGAAGCAAATTAAGGCATGTATTACACAAAACCTCTTCAAACAGCAAAATCGCAAGGTGCTGATGTTCGTCGACAACCGCAGAGCCCACGGGCATATCAACAACTTAACTTGAAGGCTATCCCAGTGGAGTTTTTGCCGCTTAACACGACAAGTGCGTTGCAGCCCATGGACAAGGGTATGATCAAAAACTTCATAACAGGTCGCGCCTCCTGAATTGTATGCTGTTATGCGTCGACAGTTACAAAAATTAAGTCTTGAATGCTCTGATGGCCATCAGCATGTTGTCCGATGCTTGGAAGTCAGCGACTATGGAAACAATCTACAACTGCTTCCACCACGCAGGATTTACGACTGGGGTTGAGGAGGACAATGCCACAGGCTAGGACCTTGCGGTTGAGAATCCGCCAACCGCAGCAACGGACATTTCGGACAACCTCCGTGCTAGCGAGGTCGATATGGGGGCGAATACGTTTGAAGTGTTCGCCAACTTTGACAGTGCCATCTTGCCTTGCACAAAGTTGGACGATGACGAGATCGTCCCTGAGGTCTGAGCCGGCGCTAATGGACATTGACTCTGACGATGACACGTCGATCACACCACAGCCATCAAATGCGGACTTAGTGCACGCCATATCGAAATGTTGTCTGGCTACAGCGACGGCCAGACACTCACAGAAATACAATCCGACAGGGGTGTGCGCGCACGTGCATGCACGCGAGCATGTGTGCAGATGCCCATAGACAGTTTTTTCCGGAGATCGGAACAATAAAAGTGCTTTTTTTTTCTAATGAATCTTTTTTCGGACTCCCAATTATACGGACTTTTCCGTGGTTCCCGTCGAGCCCGAATAAATGGTCAGGCAACTCTATTATTTTTCAAGCCTTCCGTTCGCTGACACTTCGCTTCAGCCACTCATGCGAACATTCCGGTTGGCTTGGCAACAACATTCCTATGCTCACACCGCTCTCACCGACACTCGCATCTGGCAGCTTCTTTCATTTCATTTCATTTACTACTCCACAGAGTAGAGGGCATGCGCTAAGCTTCCAAGCCCGTTACAGTCCAGCATCACGCAAAACAGGAACAAAATGAAAAGCATTCATTCAACCCAGAGGGTCATTAGCATTTGAAACAAAATAAGCACTTGGATTGCTTCATGAAGGCCCCTCCGCATTTGGAAGTCCAGATATAAGCTTCTTTAGAAAAACGCCAGAAACTCGGACATACCTCATGCATCAATTTCAACACCATTTTGTGCTAAAACATTTAAAATGGAGGATAAAGTAACTTTTTTAACATTTAGGCACCGTAATTCGTGTATGAGAACTTGACCTTAAATTTTTCAATTAGCTGCAAAGGGTACTTAGAAATGCATTTGGCTAGTTCTGCTACTTCCTTCAGCATCGATATATTTTCTTTTATTTCATGTTTATATCAGATAACTATGCGTATTCATACAGACTAAATACTTTTGGAAGTATTTAGTCTGGATATACATTACCGAGAGAATGAGAATGTTTGCCACCTCGAAAGCACCAGCTCCTGTACTCCGCTGCCCCTCGCTGTCACCCTATCTTGGCGCATTTTTGGAAAGTTCATCCTTCGACATCATTCACCCTCGCTCTTACTTCTCTTGGCACAGCTCACTCTTTTACCAAGGCTCACTCTCACCACACTACGAGGCCACGTAATCAGCTCTATACCCCTGAACATGAAAGCCTCGACTAAGGATAGCTTCGCTGTTATAAACAAGACCATTTTTCGAATGTTGCCTTTAACACCCCCTCTCCCCACTCTTTACTTTTTAATCTCTTCAATGCTCGATCTTCTCCTGAACTGTTGCATTAATGACATTCATCGTTACTGTTAAGACTCGTAACGTAGATTAATACACTGATAGTGAAACCAACTAGCCCAATCAGTGCCATTGCGATGGTAAATATTTATAGTAGCCTGATAGTAAAATTTTACTAGTCCCTGCCCTAGGCCTGTAAGTTGAAATATTTTTAGCCTATGGTTATCAAGATAAAAAAAAGAACATCCTTAAAGTGTCGATTCGTTCGTCCATCTTTCCAAAGCCACTGGAATGGATGTAGTACATGCAGTTATGCTCTTGTGCACTTTTGAGTAGAACCACTAGTTGAAGTTACGAGCGTGACACTGTTTGCCTCTGCCTATGCGTTCTTTGTTCTTCCCCTAACACCCCTTTTTTCCAATTTACACCTGTGCCTTCATGTGCCAATGATTTGCTGCATGTAGGTCGAATGAGTGAAGCAAACGCTGTTAACCTGAACTTGTGTGCCCAGAAAGCACAGCTTCAAGGTGCGCTAACTGAGAACAGCGCTACACTTTTGCTAGCTACGGAATCCAAACCTTTAACTGCTAGCAGTCAAGTACTTCCTATGCTACAGCTCGGGCTGACTGGAAACTTTGGTTCCAAGTTCCGAGATTGCAGCAGAACGGTCATACATATGGAGCATGATCAACCAAATTTTATGTGTTCTTCACTGAACCCAACAGTTTATCACAGTTGAACCCCTTTATAAGAGAGATGCACCAGAGAGCAGTTCCTCAACGAGGGGTGTCTTCCAAGCCGGGAACCATGTTCTTTCCAGATAAACCGCATTTTGATGAAAGGACATTGCTGTCTCTCTTACGCAATTGTCCCTGATATCAGAGCCTCATATAAAGGTGTTCAACTGTATATGCATGCTCACTATCCCAAGGTGTCACTGCACTAATTGATGGTAAGGTACCCAGAACGTACACACTATACGGCACACGATAACGAGTTGTACAAGGCAAGAAAACTGTAAAGTCAATTACAGTCCCAAGAGTGAATACAAGCTCCACCTACCGCCTTCACAGTACCAGCCGGAGAGAATTGGCATAGATTTACTCTATCACATTTGCTAATGTAACAAGTTTTCTCGCTAGTCAAAAACTTGGACCTCCCCACAAATTCCATCAGCAATTCAGACATCACTGCCAGGGGTCATAATTTGGGCAGAAACGATAAGCCTTTCGTTTTCAACATGCATGATACTTACATTAGCACAGAAAAGCAGTTAGGGCTCGTAAACAAGCACACTAAAGTTTTATAGAGGGATGAACTCGTACTTATTCTGAAGCTTCAACCAATGGTAGTTTGTGAGAAAGTTGCATTAATCAAAGAAGGGCACATGACTGCAACATTTATTGCATACAAGCTTAGTGAGCAAGTTCATAACAGGGGCCATGCATTGCATGCAACGTAAAACGGGGGCACCGACGGTGCCATACCAGGGAGTCTGGGGAACAGAGGATTGCTTCCTGAGGAACGGGCATGCCCAGTAAGTCTGCTGCGTCAGCCTTGAGGCCCGGAGAAGGTTCGTCTGCAACTTCTTCGAACTCATCATCGGACACCACCAGCTTCGGGGTGAGCTCGCGATCTTCAGGACAAGCACCGTCGTGGCAGTCCTTTTCAGAGGAGGTACTCTGTATCACGAGGACAAGACAAATTGTGAAGGCATTTACTGAAGGCTGGTGTAAGGGTCAGCCAGGAGCTCAACGAATTGCTCAATTCACCGATTCCGAGCACGAGTAGCATCTATGAGCAACAGGTGTTAGAGACTAACTCAACAGATAGTGCTAGAAAGGATGCCCAACTGTAGTGTTTTCTTTGCTCCAAATAACTGAAAGAATGCCGGAATCCAGATAGCATTGGCCGTGAGGGCCTCCACTAGAGAGACCAGCACTGCAATCGTTTTAACGTCACAGATATGATGCGTGCGCTCGCCTTGCTGCGTAGTAGTTGTGGGATACGGCAGCTTTGCTTTCGCGACACCACTTGCATCGTCCCCCATGGCTGCACCGGTTCTTAGCCGCGATTTTGCGTTGCAAATTAGACACGAAAGTGCCACCGGGCACACCGATTCGTAGTTTGCTTATTATCAGGTCTTACTGTTTCCTTAAGCACCGAGCTTCAGAACAAAAGGAAGCACGCACAGCGTCCACAGCAAAAGCGCAGAAAATTCAGTGTGCTAGCAGACAAAGTCAACCTGGCGTCCTATGAGTAATGTCATCATGCAGGTGGCGCCACGGTACGTGTTCGAGGCCAATTCCTTCAGCTCCGAAATAACCTACAACACTTAAATTTCTGTCACACGTTGCGAACGTGGTCAGAAAAAGCTACCAAGGATCCCATGAACAACGTGACAGCCCACTGTCTTTGACACTTTCATGTTGAAGAAGGCAAAAAATAACTTCCTCGGTCTATCAATGTCATCGACTGTGCCGAAGCTGGGAGCAATCGGACATGACAAATATCAGCAGATTTTATGAAAAGGAAATGCCGGAGTCTAAAGTTTTTCACCAGGAGTCAATCAGCCGACCCATTTTGAAAGAGGCCGCTGTCGTGGTACAAGTACCGGTAACACTGCTGAAACACACAAACATTACTGGTATCATTTTGCACAGGCAACATGCGAGCAACCAGTGGGCTTAGATTTTTCCTCGATTTCACTCATCTTTTTTTTTTTACGCAGCCTTTATGCCGGACACATTGGCTTTGTAGTCATGACCAAAGAAAGCAGACTGGTGCTTGCGAGCTCACAGAAATGTAGGAGCACACAAACAACGCAACGCCCTTGAACGGACGCCACTTGCTAGGTATCTGTATGCGCCATTTCCCAATGACTAATGTTGAAGTGAAGAAAAAAATACATAGAGGACTGTTAAGCATATTCTTATGACATAGCAACATGCAATTGCTTCTTTTGGCTAGGTTGGTAAAGCGCTCGAAGGTTGGGGTTTCATAGCTATCTTGCGAAAAATGAGGCAATGCAGAGGCCAAATTGTATTTACAGTCAAATCTCATTAACTTTAACACGCTCATTTCGAACATTTGGTTGATTTGAACTTGTGCTGTGATACCGTCAAAGCTATGTGTATTCCAATGGGCAGAAACGCCCTGTAATTCGAACGCACAAGCACTTGCAACAGTTAATCGAACATACCACGCTCCGAAAATGCTCTCAGCACCCCGCCCAATCCTGCCAGCACCCCACCCAATCCTGCGGTGACACCTCAGACACCTCAACGCTGCGTGCAAAAGAGGAAAAGAAGAAAAGAAAAGAAAAGGCTGAGGCAAAATGCTTGCTCTTTCTCAAATGGCGATCTGCGACATGCCTATGCCACGCTTCTCCCTTTTCTGTTTGCATTAGCATGTCGTTTCTTCAAGTTCCCCGACAAGTTGTTGCCGTGTGCTTGCTCCTCTGCTGACAACGCCTCCTATCTGCGATAGTGATGTTTTCCTGCATGTCCAGATTGAGTTACGCATAAATGTCGTGAACCGAATTTGTGCACTCGATCATCAATTTCGAAGCTGAAAGAGTAGCGAGGTGTTAGTTTCTTTTTCACGTAAGTACTGCCACATTTTTGGGTGGAGACCACGCCACAATATGTTCATCTAATACATATTTACACACCCCTAGTTTTAGGAACTAGTCCCAAGTACCTTCATTAGCTCCTCAGTTTGGTACTTGGCTTCTTCCGGCGGCAACTCCTGACAGGAAGCATGCCTTGGACTGAAAGACGACGAAGCCTTCACTTCAGATTGCAACGTGTCGTCTCCGCAGGACTGCATGGCAACCGACGACTGCAGCACGACGGTGGGCAGCTGAACTGGATCGGGAGTTTGAAGCAGTTCAGACATCTCTGGAAGCGCTTTTCGAAGGACCTCCAGATCTTCGGCGGACAAGAGAGGCAGATTGTCATCAAATGACTTCGGATTCCGAGTCTGCGTAGAGGGAAGGAAAAGGAAGGAGCAAGTCAAAGACCTGGGCAATTAGGCACATTGTTATGCGATGAAAGGCACGCAATTATCAAGGCGAAAATTTCACGCATTTCGTAGAGTCGAAATTTTCAAGATTTGATGAGTGAGCCCTGAGAAGACATCAAGAGACGGTGGCATCAACATAAATTAAAGAAAAATAAAATGCTAAGCAGAAAAAAAAGAAAGAAATCAGAGAAGAGTCTCGCAATACTCAAGCGCATGCATGCATGCTTACAGGGTACCGAAAGCCCCGCGACCTCAAGATGTCAGTGGGAGGTCGTAGATTGCAAACGTTTGCAATCTACGACAAACATTTGCGACGTCACATGATGATGCCATCACATGCCACTTCTCAGAACAAGGCAGGCTAATCCTAAAGTCCGTGCAAAACTGTACGAGGTGCACAAGGCCATCTTAGAAGGGCGGGGAAACTGATATCAATACATTCCACCTCAAAAAAAAAAAAAGGTCTTGCAAAAAAAAAAAAAAGAATTATTTGCCTACTTATGTGCACAGCTTTTGCCAGCAAAATAAATCAACAAGATGCAGCAATAAATGTTGCCTAAAGCACCTGCAACAAAGTCTCTCTTTTGACCAGAGCAAGAAAAAATACTCCCGTTCTCTAGTATGGCTGTGAGTAGCGAGGATAAGTGACCGTCCCGAAACAAGAGATGCGCGGAGCATGTTGTAGTGCAGTTACGGGTCTTACCGCAAAAGGTGGAGGCAAGTCGTCCATGCCAGGGAAGAGTGCGTGGAGGAAGTGCTTGGAGAAGTGGCTGTTGAAGTCCTTCCGGGCCTGCACTTCCATGTGGTGCAGCCGTTGGCACTGCGATGACAGCATGCCTGCCCACTGCATGTGGCGTTAGAAATTAAAAAGAAAGAAAAGGGTTCCAATCAACCGATGCGAGCTGTAAGCTGGGATAACGCGGAAGCTGCACCCCTTTTTGAGAGACACCAAAGAGAAAAGGTTTTTCTTGTATTAATAAGCGAATCTCGCACGAAACCTAAAACACCACGCTTAACGCAAGACTGCTTACAGTAAACGATGAAATGCGTGAAAAGAAATGGGGATGGCGGTGCCTGTTACATGTTCCCACATCAGTCGCCATGATGCCGTACATAAATTTTGACAGCGTCCAATAACGGGGCCATGACAGTGTCACCCACCAAATTGCTACTTTCAGTGAAAAAATAGAAGTAGAGGGTCCGTTTTACCTGTACACACATGAAAATCTAACAGCAAAAAAATACAGTCGACTCTCATAAATTCAAACGTGAAGGTACACCTGAATTTTGTTTGAATGATCAAGAAGTTTGAATTATCAGAAGTTCTCAGGTGACTCTGAGTGAGGTGACACCACACATTATGATTAGTCATTGATTTTATCACAAAAAATTTTTTAACTGTTTTTAAGGGGGCAGACTGGTCTTAGATATTTTTTGTTTATTTCTCCAGTGATCTTTATGAAACTGCACAGGATTATACGGTTAAATATTTAATTAGATTTCTTGTAACTCATCTTGTTCCTGAGATAACTTAAGTTCACCTCCTATTGTTTAAGGCTGCCATAGAAAAGAAAGTGCTTAATTAAAAGTGATATTTAAGATATGCCAACAGATTAATGACTATAGATTCAAATTATGCAAGTTTTTTTTTGCTTTTAGTACTTTATTGGTTATTTCACAGCAAAATAAACTATCTGTAGTGAAGAGGAATGCCCAGTACTGCAGCGACATCGACACGTGGGCGCGAGGCACGAGCTAGGACTGCCTGATTGCTGCTGCGACGCTGCCCGTATACTCGGCCTGCTCTTGCTGCTTCGGTACCGACGCCGCTACCGCTGTTTACCTTGCATTTACATTATATTTTGGTGGAGAGTGCTGCGGTCTTCCCCAGTCCTGGAACTGCGTAGCCGAAAGCTGCCGTCCGTCATGCCTGACGACGCTGTCTTCACACCCCCACCGGCTTCGCCACGCAGGAGCTGTCCTGGTGCACAGCTCTTGCGAGAACCCGACATCTTCAGCGGCACCGACGAGAAAGACGTTGAGGATTGGCTGGAATCGTATGAACGAGCCAGCACTACTAACAAATGGGACAATCCCACAAAGCTTGGCACCGTGATGTTTTATTTAACGGATGTTGCCAAGCTGTGGTACAGAAACCATGAGGCGGATATCCCCACCTGGACTACCTTCAAAACCTGCATCGCAGATGTTTTTGGGCGCCCTGGTGTGCGCAAACTTCGCGCAGAACAACGCCTACGAGGCCGGTCCCAACAAACTGGTGAGACATTCACCAGCTACATAGAGGACATCCTTGACCTCTGCCGGCGTGTCGACCGGTCGATGGCCGAAACTGAAGAGGTGCGACATATCATGAAAGGCATTTCCGACGACGCCTTTCAAATGCTGCTCTCCAAGAACCCTGTCACTGTCTCTGAGGTCATTGAGTTGTGTCAGAGTTTCGACGAGCTGCGACGACAGCGTCTTCTCACTCGATGCCCTGACGTCCCGGATGACACCGTCTCCAGCCTGACCACCACATCTGACCTTCAGTCGCTGCTATCGCAGATTAAGGAGTTTGTTCGTGCTGAGGTCGCTCGTCAGCTATCGCTGCTATCAACAGCCGGCCAACCAGCGTCACCTCTGCCAGCAAACATTCGCCAGGTCATCCAGGAGCAAGTTTGCGCGGCTCTGCCATCTGCCCGTGACACTTCACCCTTGCCGAGCCCTGTTGCCTGTGCCGAGGTAAATGCACCTCTAAGCTATGCTGAAGTAGCGGCTCGACCACCTCTTCAGACTTTTACGTCGCTTCCCTCAGCCGTGCCGCTCCGACCCACTCCTCGGTTCGCTCAGTCAAGGTCCGTCCAGAGTAGTGGACAATGGCGTACACTCGACAATCGCCCAATATGCTTTGCCTGTGGGCTACCTGGCCACATAGCGCGATACTGCCGTCGGCGCGTTCCTGTCTACCGACAGAGCTACGACCAGACCTTCGAACCTGCCCTTTATGTGCCACCGCGCCGTTCGTTCACAGGCTCTCAGCCACCCGACCAGATGTCATCGTACGCCGACCACCGCCCTCCTGTTAACCGCCGCTCGCCATCACCTCGACGCTGCTCGCCATCGCCGATGCGTCGTCGTCCTTCATCGCCGGAGCGGGAAAACTAATTGCCGCAGTTCCAGAGGCAGGAACTGTGTCGCCAGCGAAAAGACCAAGGCCTCTCACTTCACCAACGAATGTTCTGGACGTACATGTGGACGGCGTCGCTGCACTCGCTCTTGTCGACACTGGTGCCGCAGTTTCAGTGTTAAGTGCTAGACTCTGCCGCTTGCTGAAAAAAGTTATGACGCCACTAGCTAGTATATCACTTCGTACAGCCAGTGCAGATCACGTCACACCGGCCGCTGCTTGTACTGCTCGCATCGCGATTGATGGCCTCATTTATGTCGTTGAATTGCTAGTGTTGGATTCCTGCTCCCATGACCTCATTTTGGGCTGGGATTTTCTCTCCGCTAATAAGGCCGTCATCGATTGCTCGCGCGCTGAGGTGGCATTTGAAGTGTTTGACGACGCTCCATTATATGATGCTCATGAAACCGGGGACAAACTATTTGTTGCTGAAGACGTCATCATACCGCCGCACTCTTTTGCCCTTACCATGGTGTCTTGCAACTCTCTCGCCGAGTCTAGTGCCCTTTTCACGCCATCTGCTCTTTTCGTTCGTCGCAAGTGTTCGCCGCTACCTTATGCTCTTCTAGAACTTCATGACGGCGTCAGCAGACTACTCATCTCGAACCTGTTGTCATGTCCTGTAACACTACTCCGGGGTGAGTGCGTCGGGCGTGTTTACAGTCTCGACCCTTCTGCAATTATCGACATGCCGGCAGGTCCTTCCGCCGAACACGAAGTCGCCGGAGTGACCTGTGCCTCTTCGCTGCAGACTACTAGGCCGGAAGTGCTGAGCAGCTCCATCGCCGACACATTAACCGTTTCGCAACGTGCTCAGCTTCTACGACTACTGAACAAGTTCCGTTATTCCTTCGACTGCCAGCATACTCCCCTCGGCCGCACGTCAGCCGTGTGTCACCGCATCAACACGGGTACCAATGCACCATTGCGTCAAAGACCCTATCACGTGTCCGCAGCCGAGCGCCAGGTTATCGATGACCAAGTAGCTGACATGCTCAAGCGTGGCGTCATCCAGCCTTTCAACAGCCCCTGGGCATCTCCAGTCGTTCTCGTTAAGAAGAAGGACGGGTCAATTCGTTTTTGTGTTGACTACCGTCGTCTTTACAAAATAACTCAAAAAGACGTTTACCCGTTACCGAGAATCGACGATGCCCTTGACTGCCTCCAAGGTGCGGAGTTCTTCTCTTCTATTGACTTACGGAGTGGCTACTGGCAAGTCCCTCTGGCACCTGAAGATCAGCCTAAGACGGCCTTTGTCACACCTGATGGCCTTTACGAATTCTGTGTCATGCCTTTTGGTCTTTGCAACGCACCCGCAACATTCGAGCGGATGATGGACAATCTTTTGCGTGGCCTGAAGTGGAAAACATGCCTGTGCTACTTGGATGACGTGATTATATTTTCCCCAAATTTTCCAACGCATCTCCGCAGGCTAGATGAAGTGCTGCAGTGCCTAACTGACGTCGGCCTTCAGCTCAACCTTAACCCCTTCAGGCGCAACGTCCACATTTGTGGACGCCAAGTTCACACCTAGGTGTTTCGAAAATCGGTCTTGAATCTCGCGCGCAAACAATGCTCCCGCAACTTCTGCATCTTGCTGCAAGGACGTGTGGCGCCATCTCTTGCACTTGGTTCAAAATAACATCGTAAACAAAAGTCAAACTGGACGCCTCCACTTTCTATGGCGGGACGCGTAAGTGGCTCTGATGTTTTTATCGTTTACTTCGTACCTTTTTAGCTGGCGTGAAATTTTGCATTTGTCAGTAATAACTAAGATATCCCGCATGCCTTTTAACAATATTTTGGCAATAGGAAATCATTTGTAATGACAGAAAGGTTCAGCTAAATTTCGCGTCCACGAACGTGGACACTGCGCTTCAGTGCCTCCTTTGTTGAAGGGCTGCTATTTCTCTGTGTTTCACTTCCGGCAGCATCAAATGATGTTTACGTTAATATTTTTTGTCACCAGGAATTCAGGATCATGCATCGAGACGACAAAAAGTCGACGGTGAAACAGTGGAAGACGTCCTTAAAAAATAGCCAATGGAGATGTTTCCGATGGAGACATTTCGGACGACGAAAAGGAGGAAGAGAACGAAGAGAACACAAAATTACGTTTTGTTTGAAAAACCATTAGCCTTTTAGTTAAGATCCTGCCGCCCGGTTCTTGGCCGATCCCTCTTTGTGGGTGTGCGCCAGACTATCAAGTATCATCATCATCATCATCATCAGCTGAGCGTCAACAAGCCCCAGAAAAAGCGTGGGCGACCAAGCAGTGAGAACCCCCGGGTGATGAAAAGGAAGGCACCCAATGCGTCACCCCTGCCAGTGAGCACTCTTCGCTATGACGGCATACAGCACTGGCCACAGCAAATGAACATACCCAACGCACAACGCTGCAGGAGGGATGGATGCTCATCCAAGAGCCGCGTCCGCTGCAGGAAGTGTGACATTTTTCTTTGCCTGACATCGCAGAATGACTGCTTCGACCTCTTTCACACTGAATAGACTTTTTCTGGTAACTTCTCTCAACATTACTTTGAAAGAAGTTATTTTGAATTTAAATGGAAAGCGTGTTTTCTTCTTTGTCGCTTTTCACTAATATTACTGCTTTGAGGCGCAATGTCCACAAATGTGGACGCTGAGCAAAAATTGAA